TCCTGCTTCCCATCAAGCTAGCTTCAGTATTTACCCATGCTCTCTACAAGGCAAAAAGGTGCTAGAAAAGAACAGGCATGTGAATTGAAGGGTACATACATTTCCTGAAGTTTTTGCTGGTTTTATTGTATATTTGAGGCTTAATTGCTACAGAAATGGGAACTGAAGACAAAGGAGTTTGCTGTAGGCAGTGACCTGCATCCTGTTCTTCCATGTGTGGAGGAAAACCCTTTCCTGCTGTTTTTTTCTGTTTTCATTTCTCCATTGTAAAATTAAAAAAAAAAAAAAAAAAAAGGCAAAACAACACAGGAAAATGTAGCTGATAGAAATGTTTGTAATGTTGTGTCCATGCTTCCTTTTCTCCATGCAGTGGCTGGGAGAAGCAGTGAATGCACCAGCAGCATTCTTGGAAGTCCTGCAGAAAACTCATACTCTGTCTGTGTTATGACAAGTCAGAAAAACATTTTGAATACATGAATAAATTAAGCAAACAAATAATCCTACTGGAATCAGTGGGACAACCTGCATACCTAAAATCATTCCTACGCCATCAGGCTATGCCAACTCAGGGTCTGTATGGGGAACAGGCAGTGACAGCGACGTGCCTCACATTGCAGGGACTACTTTGTTTGCTTTATCGAAAGCTGAGGCATTTTCCAGATGTTAACAGTCTCAGGAGGTTTTCTGCCTTATTTTTCAGTTAAGGTATCAATGAACTGTTGTATATAATGCTTATTCCACTATGAAAAAGGGAAAAGGAAATGTAAGTGTGGGGTCAGGGCTGGTACAAATCTGAGAGGTGTTATTTATTCCAGAAATTCCTCAGTGAAAACTATAATCATGATTTCTGTCACGACCTTTGTGTATTCCTGTATGTGTACTCTATTACCAATGGAGTATGGCAGTGGGTCCAGCCTAGGGAAGACACTAATTTGTGACTAGGTTTAGTTTGGATTCTCTCTAGTGGAATATTTCCTGATGTAGCATCCTTCACCCTGGTGCAATTACACCTGGATTATCTTGTGTCTCCCTTTATTCCTTCCACAAACCTATCAGGAACATTTTGATCCGTGTCCTTGTTGGGGAGTTATCCAGGGCCTGGTGAATCCCATGGGCTAAAGCAAATAGGAACAGGACCAGATAGCTTGATACTGTGTCTTACAGTCAGAGGAGATGGGATGTTCATCCCGGCCCAAGGGAGTTTTACTATGGTACCCGGGGCAGCTACCTCTGCTCCCCGTTCCTACAGTACAAATGAGGTGCCGTTATAAGCAAGACCTATAACTGTCCTGCTGTCACCATTGCAGGATGGGCTAGCCGACACATCTGAAATGCTTTGTACATATCAACTGGTTTGTAATGAAGTAAGTGTTTTATTTTTATGGTCCAGAATTAAGACACACCTCATCATTTGTGGAAATGGCACATCAGGACTGAATTTTATTTTGTCATCCGCACGGCAGTGGCACAGCACCACAGGCTTGCAGTTGCCTTCAACTCAAAGAATAAGGTTATCGCACGTGTTGAATAACATTATATGTTGCTTTTCTGATGAAACACCAATAAAATCTAAACAGAATGCATCTTCAGTGGGTTTTAATAAATATATGCAATATCAAAACCTATTGATTTGGTACATGTAATCCTTGCATTTCCTTCAGTGATGGACGGTGTAAACAAATCCTCTATCAGTGCTCATCCTGCCTGTAGTGAAGTCAGCGGGGTCTCAGCCTTTCATAGGCACTGCTGTCCTGAGAGAGGGCCGTTCACCTCATACCTACCAAGGCCATGGGGTGGTGGACACTGGGATGACCTCGGTTGGGTCCTAAGCCCATGAGCAGGTCCTAAGCCCATGAACAAGGTCCTAAGCCCACCAGCAAGGCCCTAAGCTCACCAGCAATCCCACTGATTTCAACGTAGCTCTCTATGAGGGCAGGGATTTGCTTTTCTGGCTCTGGTCAGCAAACGGGCACAGAAGTCACTTGAATAATTCAAAATGCAGGATCACCAGTAGCTGGAGCTGCCTCCACAACATGCACCACCAAAGGAAGGCTATCCTTAAAGGGAAAAGGTCACAAAGATGGGGGAAAACCCTCTATGACACAAAACCCCACTTGTATTGCCTGTGCTTGCAATGGCATTAATGTGTTCTATCAGTCATTGACATTTGCCCTAAAGAGTGTTGAAAAACAAGAAAAACCTAAAAAAAAAAATAAGGTACGCTACATCTCATCATGGATGTGTGGTGCCTCCACGCGTCAAAGTACAAAGAGCATTCCCAGAGTCGTTCTGCCCGCCCTGGGAAGCACCCTTGGGGATAAGGCACCAGCCACGCAAAATTTGCCAGCAGTCTGTACAGAGAGCTGGGGGGTTCCTGCCAAGCGCAAGGAGAGGCTGAGGGTGAGGCGGTGGCTCTGTCCTATCAGGAACATTGCTCCCAGCTGGAGCATGGTGAGATACTGCCATGCTGTTCTCTCTAATCCTATTTATTTTGCCCTGCTGAGGTTGGGGCACGTTGGATGGCGCTCCCCCAGAAAGAGCCTCACGGCTAACCTGATAAACTAAAGTGAAGGAGTGTAACGTAATAATTCAGCCATCTCCTGGGATGTAATTTTTCCCCACTTCTGGGAAAGGTGCTGCAAGGAAACAGCCTCCACCAGAAGAATTCAGAGAAAAGGTACTGACTAATGTTAAAGTATAATCTACAAAATACCATGCTCCTTCCTTCACATCCCACAAAGAGTCAGCCACTGCAAAAACAAATGCTTTAAATGTCTGCTCATTTCCTCTTCTTATTATTTTTATCTTTTTAAATATTTCGTGGCATTTGGCTCTCCCAAGCCCTTTCAAGGCTGCTAAATGAAGCTCATGTCTTGCTGAGCAGATTTGAGCATTGCCGGTGACAACGTGACAGAGGGACAGAGCCAGCCTGCGGCTCAGGGAAGATTCTTTGGCTTTCTTAAGGGAAAATTCAACCTCAAGTGCCTCAAGCTACTGGGCAAGTGCAAGTTTTGGAGATGCTGCAAGAGCTCATGGAGAAGGATAAGAGTCTAATGCCCCCAAATAACCAAAATTTCCAATATTTTCCCTGCTGGGGTCCTGACAAGGTTTGTCTAGCCTCTCTGTCCCCTGTAAATTGGGTACACCTGAGCCATCACTTCCAGAAAATACTGATTAATTCAGCTATGCTGAGCTTGGGGCAGGGGCACGGGGGTAGGACAGGGTGTAAAGGCAGGTCACCAGGTGATGGTAGGAGGAGAAATCACACACTTGCCATGCCAGATATCAGAAACACCCAGCCTCTGGAGGCTTTCATCCCTGTGGGAAACAGCACCGGCTGCTTTCCCTGGTTTTAGTCCAAGAATTAAGAGAAAACTATGAGCCAGAGGGGAAAAAAAGTACCAGGCATGCTTGCAAGACTGAGCTCAGCCCTACCACTGCTCTCACATTGTGTTTTCTCCACCTGGACTGAAAACTGTGGCTATAACAAACGATGGAGACGCGAGGGCATCTGTGAGAAAACTTATTTTCCCAGTTTTCACAAGAAAGAAGACTCATTCACCACCTGGCGTAACCTCCCCAGCCCTGCCTTCTCCAAAGCCACTGCAAACAAAACTCCCTCCAG